CCCCCCCCACCCACATCCTTATTATGGTCTTACAGGTGTTGAGAGCTTTGCTTAAAAACAGCCGGCTCGTGATTAAATGGATTGGAAGCGTCACATGACACGTTAACGGAACGTGCCGGCCTAGCCGCTGCCGGGCCTCTCCGTTACCACGGTAATCCATTAGACACAGAAGACGGACGCGCTCTGTTCTTATGCAGCTTTTACATTAAGGCGCCGTGTGCCTGAGAGGTGCCAAATATCACAGATTGCTACGTGTGAGGGGAGAACTTCAAAAGGGACCTTAAGTAAGCGCCAGCTCTCCGTCTGCAGTTTCAGAAGCATATCGCTGAGATGAGGGCATGTTTGTCTATCTTTGGCTTTGGTCTTTGTGAGCTGATAGATGGAATATGGCTGTCAGATTTAGAAATTGAATATTATGTGCGTTGCGTAAGATTCAGGCTGAGAAGATTAACTTTTTTCCGCCCTAATATCTTCAGCCCACGGAGAAGCATTGTGTACCCTTGGTTAGATTGCCTTTTCCGATTAAACCTAAATTTATGTGTGAAATGTAAGAATTATTTCGGTAGTAAGGAATTAATCTTGATTAGAGTTCCTGATCAAATCAGTCTATTGCAGAGTCACAAAGGAAAGGGTTTTTGCATTTTAATTTCAATACAAAATGTACAATGAACCAATGGAGTCTTGATAAAAATAAATCTAAAAAGTTCCATGTTTTTTAAATGAAGGTTGATTTAATTTCCTGTGAAACGTTAGTCACCTGACCATCTGTTGGCGATGCAGTAAACATTTTATACGAGTTGCAATTAAATCTGTTAATTATCCATTGACTTACTAATTCAAAGGACAATAGTTTTGTGGCTGCTCTAAAGCTCAGGGTGGTTTCTGCAGTTTACATATTAAGTCCAAATATTTTCTGGATTCTCACAGCCTGCAAAATGGTGCATTTGTATCACGTCCGGTCTGTCCTATAGGCAACACAGGACATCGCCTAGGGCGCCATCTGATTAAGGGGCACAAAAAAGCGAGTGAGAAAAAAAACTGAATTACGTCATGTTGCAGTTTTTTACAATAAGGCTTTCCTGCATTTTTTTGTGTCAGACAGACACCAGCGAGCCAGTCAGCAGCCAGACACAATAAACTGCTGAAATGTTTTTAATATAAATGAACTTGGGGGAGGGGGGGGCAGGAGAATCTCACCTATAGGGTGCCAGAACACCTTGGGCAAGGTCTGATATGATGCTTAGACTTATCCATGTTTTCAACTGCAGGGGTATTAAAAAAACAAACAAAGCATGAGTCAGTGTTGATTAGGATTATATGTTATGAAAATCTGTGTAACGCTCTCGGAAGTTACGCATGTAACCCTAATACTATTTTAGGTACTTGTCGTCTTATTTAATGCAATTTGAATTGTTCTTTAGAGTCTTACTTTAAAGAACCAAACTTAATTCTATAGCCATTTTACCTTTTCAATTGCATTCGTTCTCTTGGGTCAACTTGAGTCAATTCAATTGACTAAAGTACAAACACACACAGTCATTCTGGGGCTCAACCTGCAGTCTTTCAATAACGTTTCATATATCAGGAAATGCTTGTTTAACAGGGAAAGTGTAGTTCGGGGACATTTTTTTCCCTGTATCTTCTCAAAACTCCCACCACCTCAAGAATACGTCACACCTTAAAAATATTAATTTTTGCGGTCATGAAACTGGTATTGTGGAGTGACGGATAAGCACTTCCTGGCCAGCAGGCACGAGGGACTGGAGCGCCCCCGATGAAGCTCTTATTTGCTATTTTTCTGTTACACAGGAACAAAAATCCCTCTTGGCGGCTGCTGTCTTCCTCGAAGGTACGACATACGAAGCTACATTCTTCTTATCGCTGCCTCCCTGCATTGCTCCTTACAAAACAGCTTTAAACGGGTCCGAGTTGAGCATGACTGGACTGAAGAATTCACATCAACACAGCGAGAAAAAAAACTTAGGTATTTCACAGTGTTTACTTTCACATTTAGCGGCAAAAATCCACATTTGCTTGCATGGAAGAAACAAACTATCGGTTTAAAAAGATAAGCAGTAGAACTGACAATAGTTGTATCTAAATATACGTAGGTGTCATCAACAAGAAAGGCAGCATGCCAGAACTTAAGGCACACTGTCACTCCCCTTCCTTCCATTGCGTCATCCTCTGAAGTGGATGTGTCATTTTGTTTTAGACCGGGTCCTTGTTCTCTATGAAGCCACTCAAGCAAAATTGAAAGGGGTTTAAAGTAACGCATTATGCACACCAGGAAAAATCTGAATAAAAGAGACAAAAAACCAGCTAGGACAAAAAACATGCCCCCCCCCTCCGCTCAAAATCGGGTCAGGCTTCTTCATTATTCCGATGCCAGAGACTAAAAATGCACCCCATTAGGAAGGGCCAGATAAACACCTCCAAAAGGACATAAACGACCATTCAGAATGGAGCCTGGCCGAACCGTGTGAATGGAGCTATAAGGTTACGGGGAGTAGCAGACCATGCTGGGGAGAAAAGCTGCACCCCGCTCGGCACAAGCAGGTGTTGGCGTGGCATCCATCTTAAAAAGCACGCGGAGTCTCCAAAGCCCCCCTCCAAGCCGCGATGCATCAGCCTTAATCTCCTCACCTGGAATTTCAGTCACTTTAAACAGGCGCCCTTCTTAATTATCACTAATTAAGCAGGGAAGCTCCCCAGAAGCATCATTCGGGCTGTTTTGTAAGTCGAGACGGGACCTCTCCGGGACCAGGTGGAGGCACCGCGGTCTTAAATGATTACCCGTATCTACAGTTACACTTCCATTAAATTAGGACACCGGGAGTCAGTCAATCCGCTTCTAATTTTGCCTTTGGGCGATAACCTGCCGCTACTTGGGCTCCGATAGCGGCAGCTGAAGTGCTATCAAGCCAAGCGTCTCCAGACAGACGCAGGGGCGGCGGTGTTAAATCCACGTCTCATCCCGCTCCTTTCGCCTGCTTTAATTTGACCAATTATCCTTTTACCTGCCTGTGCTATTTATGCTATTTCCCTCTAAATTGCAGCACTTTTATAGCGCTGCAGGGCGTTAAATTGTAAAACGGGATGGTGATGTAGGAGTGTCTATGAATGCAGCTAGGGGAAGGTTCTGCGTTTAAGTTAGGTGATGCGTGAATTCAGGTACTCCACTCCGTGACTTCGTCTCAGATTAAACACTCTGCGTGCTGGTGTGTAAAGGATCGGGGCGGGGTTGTCAAAACGGCCACCAAGTTTCATCACTTGTTTTGGATTGACGTATTTCACAGCATACCCGCAGCGGAGGGAAAGCAACCTCCCATTAAAAGGGTGCAAAAACACACGCCCGTCGCTGTCTTCTCCGGTGCGCCGCTACGCCGAGCAGATTCAGAAGCCCGTAGCAGCGATCGCTCCAGCCGCCCCTGCCACCTGTTGCTGCCACCATTGAATTATCGCCCTGACTGCCGGAGTGTGCATCCATAACCCGGGTTGCACGGCGGGGGAGCGCGTCCCGAACGCAAAGCGAAACGCAAGCCGCCCCGCCGAAGGCATCGCCCGGTCCGGGGAAGGAGGCGCACACGTGACAGGCGGCCGGTCCCAGTTAAACGCGCTGCGCATCAGACCGCACATTCCGAGCCCGGCGACACCGGTAAAAACATCCGATCACTCCCAGAACCGTACGCGATGGAGGGCTATGCGCTGTCCGAAGACACCCTCATTCCCTCCTGTCTTCAAAACTTCACCGGGGAAAATGCGCACGACCAGGTAGGACGGACACTTTTTAAATTAAACTAAATGCGTATTACTTTTGTTATTGCGATCGACGTGGTGCCTTATTTGGATAAACGCGATATCTTTACTAAGAGAAAAAGTCAGCAGAGCCCGGTGATTTTTATACGGGGGAGGGTTAGGCAAAAGCCCCGCATTACAGCTGTATGTTCGCCTGCTCAAACAGACGGTTCACTCAAACCGTGGCAGATTTTTCGACCGCTGTCAAAATAAATGTCACAAAGCAGCGACATGCGGGATCGTCGATTATTCCCGTGTCATTAATAATGCCGAAGCGGTGTCCCCAAACGGGGGATCACCCCAGCCACTGGTTGATCCGTGAGACGATGAGGTAACACTGCCTATGATTAAAATTATTTGTGTGAACTTATTTCTAATTTCTGAGAATTTACAGACACTTCTTCCACACACAATCAAGTCATAAATTAATGAATTAATCCACCGTAATGTATTTTTTACCAAAGATGCACATTTATAAGGAAGGGTAAATTACGGCTTTAATAAAGTTATTTTGTTTTCCACGTTTGTCGAAAGCTCTGATGTTCGGTAAGTAGTTGGCAAGCTCTCCAAACCCTGAAGGCTGCAAATGAAGCATTACACGGACGAACTTTCAGGGGTATCACGGATGTGGAATGATGCAGATTCCGCGTGGAGACCCCGACGCACCATTGCGGGAGATGCGCTCTGCATCAGGACAGTGCTGCAAAAGTTCTTACTAAAATTTTATTATCTACGGAATCATGCTAATTAACAGCACGCAAACAAACGCACATCCTGCTTTCGTCTTTCAGCTTTTCATTGTTTATCCAGTGCTTGGCTAGGATGTTATTTATAGTACAGACTGTAATTTAATGATTAGATAGGTGCATATTTAAGCGCCTAAAAATCTCTCTGCCTGAAACCGTATTTAATAATTTGTGCTCGATGTTGCGTAAGCTCATCCCAAAGAAACCCGTCCTGTTTTTGAACGATAACAATATTATGATTCTGTAATACGTTGCTTTCTTAAAAATGCATTTGACCCAGGTTGAAGCGCCCATCTTTCATGTACCTACCTGATACTCTAAGACAATAATGTCAGTGTCATTTTTTTTTTTTTTTATTAAAAATTAAATTAACCTTGAATGATTGTTAACCTGCTGCACTGCATTCATGGAACAGTATGAAAAGCCAACGGCCTTTTTTTTACAGCCATGGTTAATTGTAAGTTTGTTGCTCACCAAAGCAGTTTTATTGTAAATAGAAAATAAATTCATTCTGCTGGGTATAATCTGTAAAAACACGTTAACGCAGCTCACGTGTGTCACGAGCTGGGGGTCACTTTTTCAACGTGTCTTTTGACATAGCTAAAGTCAGGATGGTGCTGAGAATTTCCACGAACAAGGGGAATCTTTCGCCGAGAGATCCTGAGTTATGGGCACGCAACTCCCAGTAAGAGATTAAAACTTGTACAAGGGAATGTGCTCTGAAAAGAGTCTTGAAGTTAAACAAGTTTGACACGAAAGCTGTGGCAGTAAACCAAAAACTTACCTGTCAGGAACGTGAGTAGGAACCTGCACCAATGATCTCAGAGAAATGACATAATTGCAACAAGCAGAACATCTCATGTCACACAGTAACGCAGCTGTTGGCTTAATTAGGCCGAACGGTCAACACGGCGACTGAAAAAGCCTTCGTTTGGTTTGAGAGTAAAACTCCTGAATGTGAGTTGTGGGTGACACAAGATTGCCATCCTTCTGCTGAGGAGAAGGGAGTAGCGGTTACATGATGGCTCTTGGAGCCACGCTTCTCTGCTGAGAGTGGATGGACAAGTACAGTGTTTATCCTGGTAAGTATCTGAAGAGCTCCCTGCTTTGGAGGAGGAGGGTGGACGAGCAGTGGATGAAACGATGAACGTGTGTTTGAAATACCCTTGGCGTAGAGCCGACCATGTCGGTAAGGGCGCTGTCCGCGGTGCTGATCCATTCTGAAATTTCACACCCGCCCGCAGCCTTGCACTTTTCCCTCAAAGTCAGACGGCCCCACGTTGCTGCTGGGGGGGGGGGGGGGGGGGGGGCTGTGGTCGCAGATTTTAATCTGCCATTACTGCTGTTTCATCCACTCCTTAGTTAATACTGTGACGTTCAATCTGTTTGCGTTAGCAGGGTTCAGCATCACATTTTTTCAATGTGTATATTTACAGCTTTTAATATAATACCTTGAGTGACTTTTTTATTAACAGGAAAATGTATAAAGTGATTTCAGCTTCATTTAAGTACCGGAATATAAAGGCTAATATTATGCGATGGCTTGAACGTAATCATATTGTCTCTTTCTAGCAAATTGCTGTTTTGTGGATGATAAATTATCTAATCAGACTTGGTAAGAGTGTGCTTTATTTTATGGTGTAGTGCGACAAAACAAATGAGAGCGCTCTCTGACTCGCGTGTAGGTACACAGCTTCAGTAAATAAGGGGGGGAATACCATAGCTCAGCAGCGATCCTCCCTCCCGTGTGTTATAAATGACATTAGCAAATTTGTGGTTGCTTTACGGACAGGAAATGACACGTAGCTTGTTGGAGGAGCTTAAATTATGGTGAGCGTCTCTACAGAGAGCAGGTTGAGACAGATTCTTTTAATGCGTGGTGCGCATACTATTCTGAGCTCCTACATGATGATCAATGGAACCAAAACTATCTCCGGAGCAGAAAATGGTAATAATCCATGCTTAGCACCTCACTGAAAGCGTAATGTAGCATAACAGCGGATTCTGAAAGATGGATTGTTCTGGAAAAAGAGAAACTGCACCGCAATCAATTAACTTTTGAATAGAAAAACTACAATTGGATATTGATGTTATTACCCAATGCATTAACTTTGGTTTCTTCTGGGTTTGCGAAGTGGGTTTTTGGTTCCACGAAAGGTAAACAAATAATTTTTAGAAAAGAAACTTAAAATGTTCTAAACCTCAGCTGGCCCGGAATGTTGGGCTTGCCATACTTGAGCATAAAAAAATCTTGTGGGGGGGGGGGGGTTTATCATTTAATTTTTTTTTTTTTTAAATAAGGATTTTACAACTTGAACTTGTTTTTATGATAACGTATCATCTCCGAGCAAATGTACAGCGAGGCCCTTGGGCTCTGATCGCGGAGCAGGCGAGTCCCACTGGGCTTCCGTAGTCTTATGTATGATGTATCGCTGATAACACGCCGGCCTATTTCTGGAGGAGTGAAGATGCCTGTTTATCACTGAAAATTGAACCGGTGGTTCCTGTAAGGCCACTAAGGTAATTAATGTCAGGAAATGATGCAGGTGTTCAGAACAAAATACTGTAGTTAGATTTGATTGAGTCGCTCCGTGTAAAAGCTCTAAATAATTCAAGCGTTAATCATTTATCAAGGTTGAGAATATAGACGGTCCAGTGGAACTCTTTGTCTTCGGGAACGTGTGTGTAGTTTGTGGCCCGAATCCTAGGCCAGGTGTTTTAAATATTTGGCAGGAGCGCACATGAGGAGTTACTGCCCTTCTGTATTGGGAGTGAGGCGGGAGGGTTGGATGCGGGTGGGGGGAGTGGGTACTGGTTTAATGGCTCCGCTGTTCATATTCTGTGCCAAAGCAGATCATGGCCCCCATTTCTGATGCTTTGCACAGGTGTTTATAAACTTTTGCCCACACAGTGCGACATCTGCCCTCACGTGGATCAGAGGTGGACGCCCCACCCTCGCGGTTGGCAAGCACGGCATAGACAGCCCACTTCCAAATGAATGGTTTGCTGTGGTCTGTCTTCAGCTTGTGTGTATGACTGCATGCTCTTTGTCATCACTTTAGCATCTCCTTGGGTCCCCCAGAGCGCCCCCTATCTTGTGTAATTAGATTCATCCTTTAGGTGGCGTATCGGCAGAGATAACTGGCCGGGTTTGGCGGGGAGTGGCCATGGATGGACATGGAGCGGGGGTGGGGAGGCAGGAAGATGCTGTCTGGGTGTCCTCCTTTCTCCTCCATCAGCAGAAAGTCTGGGTGCAGGGAGCTAATTGAGCTGGGAGGTCCTTCTGGAGCTGGGGAGCCTCCTGAGAGAGGAGGCGAGCGGAGCAGAGCTGACTCCACTGTGCTGGCTGCTCCCTCAACAGCGTCCTGCAGATGAGCAGTTTGTGTCCATGTGTGCGTGTCCCTGTGTGTGTGTGTGTGTGAGTGTATCTCTATGCGTGTTCCTGTGTGTGTACAGTATGTGTGTGAGTGTCTGTGTGTGTCCCTGTGTGTGTGTCTGTGAGTATATCTCTGTGCGTGTCCCTGTGTGTGTATCTCTGTGCGTGTCCCTGTGAGTGTATCTCTGTGCGTGTGCCTGTGTGTGTATGTGTGTGAGTGTCTGTGTGTGTCCCTGTGTGTGTATGTGTGTGATTGTCTGTGCGTGTCCCTGTGTGTGTATGTGTGTGAGTGTATCTCTGTGCGTGTCCCTGTGTGTGTATGTGTGTGAGTGTATCTCTGTGCGTGTCCCTGTGTGTGTGTCTTTGTGTGCGCATCTGTATGTGCGTGTCTTTGTGGGGGTTCGTGTGTGTCCGTGTCCATAAGTATGCATTTGTAAATTTGTGTCCATCTGTTTGTGTCTTTGTCTGTGAGTGTGTGTCTGTCTGCATCTGTCTTTGTGTGTGGATTTGTATACACATATCTGTGTGTGTGTCAGTAAGGATGTGTTTGTGCATGTCTGTGTCCACCTGTGTGTGTGTCCATGCATGTGCAGGTGTGTGCCTGTGCTTGGGCGTCTGTGTGCGTGTGTGTTTGCGTGTGTGTTTGCGTGTGTGTGCTGTGCTTCCGAAGTGAATGGCAGAGGACAGCCCAGAATAGCCGGCAGTCTCCACACAGCTGCATCCTTGGATCCCCTCGTTTCTGGGCTAATGTATGTAAATCTGTGACAGTCACTTATTACAGCCGTTTGTGATGCATAATACGGCCGGCAGGCTTCATGATTAAGAAAGGCCCGTGGTGGTTTATCGTCTTGTGG